ATAACCATAAAAACTATTGACAGTTCCATAAATAAATTATATTTTTAATCGTAGATGATAAACTGTGTTCAAGAAATTGCATTTGTAATTTTCATATTTCCCATCAAAACTTAGAAACAATGCCCTGGTATGACCCAAGGTATTGACAGCTGCTCCAGAATAACCACCTGTTTACATAATAACTACAGTATTCTCTACATAATAGTATCATTTTATCGTATGTTTCAGGCTGGTCGTAAAGAAAGGAGTGATCCACTTGATAGGGCAATAGAGAGAATGTTTAACAAAACCAGAGATTTACGTCGCCAGGTAAGTCTATAACAAAGAGGAAGAGGAGACATTAGAACATTTTATGTTTAAATGTAGTTTTTTTGATACTCAGAGAAACATTATGATGTGCGGAGTAAGAGAAATTCTCATGAGGAAAATGGAAACAAATTTATTGTGTGAAATTAAAAAAGATGAAGAACTAATGTTCATTTTGTTTGTTTGCATACACTCATCCTCAATATTGTGGCTATGAATGCAGTTGGAAAAATGCATAGCCAACTCTCATCTTGAGAATCTTGCAAAATTCTAAAATATTATATGGCAGGTGCAAGCAGGTTCAAACAAGGATTTTTTGTTTGCCCTAATGAAGTTAACCTGATTTGTTAAGTCATTGAGAGAGTCTGTACATTTTGTGATTATAAATTTATAATTAATCTGTATAAATTTCTGTTCTGATACATTTTGTATGCTCTATTTGACTCTGTAGTTACGAAAGGCTGTGGTAGACCATATATCAGATTCTTTTCTTGAAACCAATCTTCCTCTTCTTGTGCTAATTGAAGCTGCTAAGAGTGGTAATGAGAAAGAAGTAGAAGAATATGCTGGCGTCTTCCAGGAACATGCCAACAAACTTGTAGAGGTGAGACTTAAATTCTTACATTTCCCCAAAAATCGTTGTACGTGTATTTTGATTTTTATTGAATGTTCAAAGAGATAGTGGAGATAGAGAAACAAATCATTGCTGTTAAAGTGAAAATGTTATTTTAGTTTTCTACAAACATTTCTGAAGGCTTATGTTCTCCAGTGGTTAGTATTAAAGTAAATTCTATGTTTTTTCAGCTTGATGTATTTCTTCTACTGTACCTGTGTGTTTAATTTTAGTGGCTTTGATGTTGCTGAGATATTAGCTACAGTATTTTATGAATATATTTCACCATGTGTATGATAGGAAATATATCCAACAGTTCAATACATGCTTCAAAGCCACTGCCATACATTTGAGATGAAGTATTCAAGATAGTTCTTTACATCACATGCTACAATTAAACTCCCTATAAACAATAATGTAATCACTTGAAATGCAGTATTGTTGCCAGTATTAGAAAAGTTTACCGAGCTGACTCCTCACTCTAAACAGTTAAAACATTCCAAAATAGTGAATTAGATTCATGGGTACTTGCATAACCAAACACCTTGATACGAATTTCAATTGTGGTATGAAACCTTCAGCAGTAACTTCTTATTTTTTATTTCAATGTCACAGGTTGCCAATCTTGCTTGTTCTATGTCGGCCAATGAAGAAGGAGTGAAGTGTGTACGACTTGCTGCACAACAATTAGAAAACCTCTGCCCCCAGGTATTTACCACAGATTATAAGATACTTTGCAACTTGTTACTTGTGATGGTTGTTGCATTGGTCATGTGATCAGTAGTCCAGAGTTCAATGCCTACCTACATGTAGGTTTAACCACAATCATCAACCGTGGATGAGTGTGATGTAGAATCACATGGGAAGGCAAAGATTCAACGATAGCACAATAAATTGCTATAATGCCATTATGTCAGCATTCTATGTGAGTTGAATGCAAGTTGCCAATCACACCTGTTTTGACCAATCACACCTGTTCTCTCATTTACATTTACATTCACTACATTCAATTACCCACCATAGACTCTGGTCAGTCAAAACGACTATTTTGAACTGTAGGCATTAATCTGCGATTCAGCCAATGACGGAGAGAGAAATCTGGGTCAGGGGAAGCCCCACGACCTCAAGATTTTCCCTTACGTCACAAACCACGTGACCGAGGCAATGAGTCACAGTCATTTTGTCCTCTTAATCACTCTGTTTTTTTCTCTGCACAGTGTGGATTGATAAAAACGGTGCTATCAGTCATCTAGATTGCCTAAATTTCTAGTAATTTGTCTTGCAATTTTGTGATCATTGTGCAAATCACATCAAATGAAATGAATGCATTATATAAATCCCTTGATAATATACTGGTATATGTGTAAATTAAATGTTAGGAATTATGATCCTGAAATAGTTTTATGAAATTTTCATATAAATGTTTCCTTGCTGTGTCTTAATATATGCAGTGTTTTTTAAACATTGCCATGACTTTGTCTGTCTGTAATTGCAGGTCATCAACGCTGCCCGTATATTGGCTGCTCGGCCACGTAGTAAAGCTGCCTTAGAGAACATGGATGCATTCAAAGATCAATGGGAGAAACAAGTGCGGTTACTCACAGAGGCTGTAGATGAAATCACAACGCTGGATGATTTCCTTGCTGTATCAGGTATGGACAAATCTGTGCAGATATGAATTGCTAGAGAAGAGTGAACTGCCATGCTAAACCAGTGTTGAAATAAAATTGGGGGTAATATGCTGTAATAGTTTTCAAATTAATCAATTATTTATATTCAAGTAAATTCCTGGCTTTTCAAATAACACTTTGTATGCCATATTTTTTCCCCCAACAAATTTGGTGCAACGTTTTGCCATTTTTTATGTGTTTTTCTACAATTTATTTATTTTGGACAAAATTAGCATAATTTCCTAAAATCCACAAGTTTTGTTTTAAAAAAAATATGGAAAAATTGTTTGCAGTTTTATTTTGTGAAAAGTGACAAAAGTTGGCCTTTGGTGTTCACGTAAAGCTGAAAGGTCTATGAGTAACATTCATATGCCATTGTCACAATTACATCAATAGATGCTTGGCATACTTTATCTAAGTGTTATTACTACAATTTATTTTAATTTTTTTCTGAACAGAGAAACATATTCTTGAAGATATTGGTAAATGTAATGAGGCTTTGAGAGATTCAGACGGTGATAAATTGGATCGCTGTGCTGGTGCTATACGTGGACGTTCTGCTCGCGTATGTCATGTGGTTGAGGCTGAAATGCAAAACTATGTACCAAATCCATACACAGACAGAGTGATCAATGCTGTAGACAGTCTTAGAGAAAGAGGTATTTATATTTTTTTTGTAATGATATTTGAATTGGCGTTTAAATATAAAATGGCATAGGACCAATTTATACCATGTGGTTGAATTTCACCTTTGTTGGTTACATATACTCCACTTTCCCATAATTTATTTATCAAATATCAGTTACTTTATTAGTAGTTAACTTTCACACACCAGCTTAAAGGATGAACCGCAGTACTGTTTTGGGTGAAAGAAAAAATTAGCAAGGATGATTACATGCAGGTTTTCTCACAAACATCATTGATTTTCAAACCGTTTAACATTTTACTGGCCTGAAGATGTTCCACAAAAATCAAAATAATTTGATATGACCTGATTTCATTCATCTCAAGAAAAACATTGATACTTTCAGAAAACAACCTTATCTAATTTAGCTATTTATTTACCTAGCTATTTTTGAAGAAATTGAAAGTAGATAAGTGTATCCCACAGCTGAATTGTGTGGACTATTGTTCACATTATACAATTTACCCGATGGTGATAGGATTTAGATAAGTCCAGTAAACATGACAGATTCAGAGTTTTGCAGGGCAACTGATATGCCAGATTCATGTTGTGTTTTGTTTTTTTCCAAAATGTTATCTTGTTTATGATGACATTTTTAAATAGGTCAGTAAGTTGATTATCTATTGTGGAACATTGTATCTCACTACATTTAAACTCTTCATATACAATATATAATTAAGGTCCACATATATAAGCAAGTACTAATCTTGTATCATATTAAATAAAAATCTCTTGCCTTGTTGTAGTTGTAGTGGTAAAACTTAAAGGACGCCCCCACAGTGAGAAACTAAGTTGATTTTGTTTTTATTGCAGCTCACACAGTCATAATTGTAATAGACTATAAAAACAAAATAATGTATAACTATTGCCACCGGTGGCGCTCTGCTCTGAAACTTAATGCAAATTCAATCTTTTTTTCTTGAATTTTAGTTTTTAAATGAGGCAGTCAATACAAATATATACATTCCTAGTTTGAAAATTCTTAGTATTTATTTAATATTTTGATAAAAATCTATACAAATCATCAAATATCATTGGCTGATTGTGAGCATATCAATCAGTTCCAAAAAGAGCCATGTCTCAGTAGATGTCATGGATTGTTTTTTTAGTGATGCCAAAATTTGCACAGGAAGTGGAAGATGCAGTCGAAGCCTTGACGATACGTCCACGGAAACCACTTGATGAAGAAGAGTTCATGGATGCTGCCCAAATGGTTTATAGTGGTGTCAGAGATATCAGAAGAGCTGTACTTGTAATAGGGTATATATCTCTTCTATATTTTCCTTCTAATGTTGTATTGTTTACAAGCAGTTCTTAGAATTTGCTAATAAAATACTAAGCCTCCTACCCTCAAAGTTTTGCTTCTCTTCCAAGGGGAAATTGAAAAAATATGCCATTTTGAATTTATTTTAACGTATATGCTGCACTTCAGTGGCTTTCAAAATTTAAAACTGATGCATGCAGTTACAATGATGAGAAGCAGGACCTTTTTTTATCTGATATATGTATTCATTACCTGAAATACTACCAACCACCGTACTAATTTTCGTGCATTTTTCATTATAATGTATAATCAGCACAGGAAATCAAACTCTAATCAATTGTGTCTGAATTTATTCCAAAACAATTGTGAGTTTTACACCATGTTTCATATACAAGTCAATACACACAAGTCAGTTCAATTTGCAATTTGCAATATTTTTAAATGAAAAATTTGCGATTCTTGTTGAATTTTTGTTTGTTTGTACAATTTTGGCAAATTTGGTTCACAAAGTGAATATGATAATCATGTTACCTAGTGCTTACCCAATATTGTTATTGCATTAATTTCCAGGATGATCGTGATGATGATTTACCAAGTGATATAGACGAGTTATATGACACCAACGGTAAGTATAGCATATATTACAACATCATTCACAGGTCTGAATTGTCTCGTACACTCCTGGATGGCGGCGATGTGCTAATTATACCCACCTTTTACCAGTAACTAACTCACTAATGAGAAATCAACATACCACCAACTTATCTCAAATTTATCTTGAATATGGAATCACATAATTTTGCAACCAGCTGCAAAAGTAGATGCAGATGATATGAAAACTAACCGAATTAATAAATATTGAACTGTTTGTTTGTCATGATTACTGTATGCTATGCACGTTGCATCTTGTGTCACTGCTTGCACCTTTCTTTCTACCTTTCCCTGCATCAATCTTATATATTTTTCTTTGTCTGTGTACTTACCATTTCACCTGAATATATAGTTGCATTTATGACTGCACAATTACTTATTTTAACTTTAGATAACAACAAAATTCTTTATCTCTGAATCCAAATTATGATATTTATTATTATTAAATTCAGAATCAAACTCATCACGTACTTTGGTACGTCATAATCTGATAACAATATACCTTAGGCAACCATCATGTGTGGGATAGAGTCTTATTTGTTTTACGCCACGCTAATCTTCTCTCATTTTAGATAATCAGACATCAAGGGAATGGCTACTTTATTCTGTCCATGACATTTTTTAGGTTCACCTACTGTAAATTAACAACAAAACATCAAAACATTATAAACTTATATTCTTACATTTGATGGAGTAAGACAAAAGATTGAGCACAAAACTAGGTGAAGGAGTTTCAATTTGTCAACCCTTTATAGTGTACCAGCCATGTTAATCCACACATCTTGTTCACCAATCTGTGATGGCACCTACAAAATCTGAACACAGAGAATTTTTGATGAAAAATCCTACAGGAAAATTGAACGAAAAAATATTAATTAAATATTAATTAAAAAAAAAAATCTAGCTGAAAAGGAGTTTAAATTTTTCATTTCAGACATCTTTCTCACACCCTGAGGGTGCCAACACTTGTATCTCTGTGGTGCTGTGAGGGCGCCAACTATTTGCATTTGGGGGTAAAATTCTCTGAAAAACTAGTTTTAATAGCATGGTAAATTAATCCTGTGTTAGAATAACATTCCATGGATGAAAATATTTGGTTCTTGGTCATCCATCATTTGCTTAAGAAAAAGTCAGGAGAGAAAACAGTGACACTAAAAATGTCCAGAACTGTCGCCTGGTACAAAAATTTATTTAAAAAAAAAAAAAAATCTGTTTATGTATTTGATAGGAAATATTGGTATTATATGTAAAACAATAGTTTTAGTGTAGAATGACAAATGTACTAATAACATATATACACAAAATGCATGAATCTAGCATGTTTTTATTTGTACTGTAATAAATTTATGTTTGAGAAACAATGATAGAGAACAAAATAATTAAACGATAGATTGTTAAGATAGATATCAAATAATTAGAGATATTTATGAATGAATGAATAAAAATAGTAGTTAATTCACTGCAGTCTTACTTATTAGTTTCGGATCCAACTTTAAGCCAATTGTCACTTTGCCAATTGGGCTGCCTTGTAAAATTAACATGCTTTGTTTTGGTGTGTTTCTGTTTTATTTTTTTTTGTCTTCCTTGTATTGTTTTTGTTCTTTCCATCACATCCTTTTTTTCTCCTCTCTTTTCTTTCCCATCTTCCTCTCTGCAGCACCCACTTTTATATCCAAACTTGAGCATTATTATGGCAAACAAGCAGAACTCAAACTGATTGAAGACGAAGATGAAGATGTACCCCCTCCACGGCCTCCGGCTCCTCTCATGCATCCTTTGCAGCATAAAACTGAACGAATTGTGGTTGCCATGCCACCAGTACATACAAAGGAACGAAAAGTGACTAAAGCTGAAAGAAATCAGCTTCAGCAGCACTTGAAACAAATGAGAGAAAACTTTTATAAAACTGAACAAGCAAAACAAAGCACATCGCCGCTACCTCCGTCTCCAGCAAAAAGCAAAAGCCCTCCACCACCGCCACCTGCTAGATGGAGCAAACCGACATCACCGACATCAACTATATCTCATGTTGATACAGATAGTGATAAAGATCTGCCCCCAACTTCACCACCACCTCCTCCTCCCCCATCTTCCCCACCTCCTCTGCCACCAGCACCTCTCCCCAGCACTGTCTATGGAGAGCAATTAGCGACAAAGGACTATTCACGAAGGAGTGCGACTTTGCTGAGTAGTAAACCCAAACCTCCTGCTGGTAGTTCGACTTATAGCACCACCAGGACTATTGATGTTAATAAATACAGTACACTGCCTATGGTGTCTGTCATATTCCCAAAAGATTTCACTGGTGAGGGTCCCAAAGTGGAACTAGATGAAATTGTGAAAAAAACCACCTCATCTTCTGTTGCAGCTGGTGCATTCCCCAGTTCGTATGGACAAAGTAAATTTGATGAGAGTGATTCTGTGCAGGACCACCTGCTTGATGAGTATGGTTCAGATCTCAGGAGAGCCGCTGTAGCCAGGTATGGAGTAAGTGGACCCGGAGGACAGGGATCAAGAGAGGAAGAACTAGGTCGATATCTTTATGGGCCAGATGGTAGACCAATACTGGGACCAGATGGAAGACCTATTTTAATAGCTCCGGATGGAACATTAATTGATTCTAATGGAAACCCTATAAATGTTGATAATAATGGATACCTTGTTGGCGCTGATGGTAGACCTATTATTGGGCCAGATGGGAATCCTCTTATGGTAGATCCGGATGGCAGATTGATGACGTCAGATGGATATGCACTTACTGGTCCAGATAACAAGCCTGTTACAATTGGTGAAGATGGTAAGTTATATGGTAGTGACGGAAGACCTTTGATTTCCATCACTCCTGATGGAAGATTGGTAGGTGCAGATGGAAGAGCATTACCCATTGGTCCTGGGGGTGCACTTGTCGGTGCCTTTGGTAGACCCATTATGACTTCTGATGGTAAACCACTAACCATTGCACCGAATGGCAGGCTGTTAGATGCAGACGGGAGACCTATATCAATTGATGCAAATGGTATGTTAATTGGCTCAGATGGACGGCCGATACTTGGTCTTGATGGTAAGCCGATGTATTTAGATCGTGAAGGTAGACTCCTCGGCGCTGATGGTCAGCCAATTATAGGAATGGATGGAAGACCCATTGTGATAAGCCCAGATGGAAAACTGCTTGGTGCTGATGGTAGACCTGTTGTCGGTTGGCAGAAATATGATCCCTTACTGGCACCAGGTGGTTGGAATATTGTTACCGAACCAGACTGGGAGCAAGCTGCCGCCGATGAGCAACGTTCAAGGGAAGCTAGAATGATGCGCCAAGATCCAAATGTCCAGACCAGAGAGGTAATTATTGTCATTCATCATTGGTGATAACCATCACCAGTTGAGGATGTATAAATGTCAAAATAGTAATGAGAATGTGTGCTACATTTGAAATAAATTTTCCATTCTGGTAACCAGTGATATTATTCTGAAAACTGAAATAACAATTTGAATGGGGAGAACTGAATTCACTATGTTCAATTACCCACCATAGACTCTGGTCAGTCAAAATGACTATTTTGAACTGTAGGCATTAATCAGGGTTTCTGCCAGTTACGGAGAGATAGAATCTAGGTCAGGGGAAGCCCCATGACCCCAAGATTCTCTTTCCCTTACGTCACGAACCATGTGACCAAGGCCATATGGCAGCGCCATAAACGGCTGTACAAATCACTCTTTCTTTCATCTCCGCCGCGTCAGGAATGATTCTGAGCGGCTCTGCCTGGCTCGTTTGCTTTTTCCTGTCCGGGTTTCTAGCGTGGGTTATTGCCACAGCTGTGGCATATGACATTCTAGCTGGTAGGATAAGTTTTTCTTGTCTTTTTTACCCTCGTGTCATTTTCCCCTTTGTGTGTAATGTTTTTTCCACAACAAAGAAATTAAAACCCGGCGCCACTACGTAACCACAGGTTGGTTTCGCGGCGGCACCTTTTTACAATTGTATTTTGTTTCCCTCATGCATGTCGTCTTTTATTTACAATGTATTTAGAAATGTATAGATGTAATGACAGCACCAGGGCTCGCTGCCGTTTTTTTTTTGGTCTCCTCGTGTTTCGAGTCGGCTGTGCAGTGGTTATATTCAGAATTTACCAGCATAGAACCCGCATCTGAGATACTTTTGTCGTAGCTGCGTACGTGGTTCAGGGTTTTGCCGTGAAGGCGTGTGTTTTTCACTGGAGTTCTGAGGCCTGAGATTTTCTTTCAGAGCCATCAAAATCGCTGAGACTGACCGCGCGTCGCTCGTTTCTTCACAGCAAGGTCGCGCGTCCAGTAAACAAATCGGTTAAAGTGAGTTGCGTGTTTGGCATGAGTGGAAAGTCCTCACGCTCGGCTACCGGTGCTTCTTCCGGGAACCCCCATTTCCAGCCGCGGCTTTCCCACTAACTTTGGGTGAGGGTGAGGCTCAGGCTAATTGCACCAGGCCTCCTCTGGAGCCTTGGGCACTGAATGCCAATGAGGTGCTGGCAGCCAAGCCTCCGATCTCGAGGCAGGGCAGGGCACACGCTGACCCCCCCTACTTTCAGCCAGCCAGGGTTTGTCGCGCGGTAACGGAAACGGTAACGAATTTATCCTTATGTCCGGTCTCCTCTGTGGGTTTTGACTCTCTTCTTACCGACCCATGGGCGTCCTCAGGGGGAACCGATTCTATCATGAGACGCACATAGAATTTTTACACACTCCCTCTCACATATTTAAAGTGAAGGGAGACGCAGTTCGCTCAGATACAGCTGGTACTCCAGGCGGTCCCTCAGAGTCTTCCATTCGTAATGACTCGGTTTGACTCAAAATGACTCAAAAGCCACGCTTTTGGGTTGATGCGGAGTATCATCGATCCCAGTGATATGATGTAAATACCCCCACCCTTGATCCTAAGGCGACCACCTTAGATTGCTTCAATG